GCCGAATTCCCAAGGCAGGTGGATTGCCCCTTCCTCTATTCACTAGAGGTACCCCACATACCTGACTCATACTGACTTTTGTGAACAATTCTCGGGACACCAAGGGCTGGGACAGTGGGTTTCTTTCTGCCTATCACATGACAGAAATTCAGTTTCCCCCAAAATCTGTGCGTTCTCTCCGTTGCACCCTCCAGCACCCTTGCCTGTGTGTGAATTAGTGCTTGGCACGCTAACAGGTGTGTCTGGGGTTTCCTTTGCAGACTCCGGTCTTCCTTTGGCATATGCTCCCAGATTGCTGTCATTCCTGAAGTATTATGTATGCAGAACTCTAGCTGCCACATCTTCTGGACTTCAAGTCCTCTTGGTCCCCAAAGTCCTTGCCTTTCGTCTTGAACTGCTGTAGGACACGATGAACCCATTTAAATAATCGTTTATGGCTGGGTACCACCGGGACGCCCTTCCCTTCCCCACTGTTGAACACTTAGCTGTCTGAACAGACTTTTTTTTTCTGGCACCATCTCTGCTACCCAGGAGGAACGGCAGGTCCTTCCTAGCACCCCTGTGGCTGGTGGGCTGTGCTTGTTCACTTCCGAGCACAAGTTTGCAAGCTCCTTTTCATCCTTGTGTCTTCTTCAGAGCCCAATTCCATCATGGGTGGAATGTATTGTTGGTTGGGCACATAAGACACACTCTTGCATGTTATATAAGCACGGGGAATGTAGTGCTCCATCCTGGCACAGGCATTCTTTAAAAAAAAATCCCTGTGATGTTTATATTTCCTTGCTCTTAATGGATTTTGAGAAACACATTCAGAATTAGAGAGCTATCTGTTCTGCAGGGGTCAGATAGATAGAGCTCCTGTTATAAATAATGTGGACATTGTTCTTGTGGAATGGTGTCACTCCCTGCATGCCTGGCGTGGGTTTGGCCACTGGCTGAATAATCTGTGAAGCAGATGTGGACAAAGGGAGAGGCAAGAGCAGTTAAACAGCAGGGGGCAGCGCGTACAGCCCGGGGCCACTGCTCTGTGAGAGGACATGGAGGCTGTGTGGGGTTCCATGTGAGATACTGGCATTGCATCGTTTCCCAAAAGCCCTGAAGACAATCATGATTATAAAAATAATCATAATCAAAGGTCAATATTGCGTACCCTCTAAATGACATCCAGGAGTTGGAAACCAGAGAGACATTTTGTCCCAGAACTGCCAGCAACCTTGGAAACTTTTGTAGCATTCTTTGCCTCTCGGTGAAGGAGTTCATTTCCCAAAAACAGCATTTTTGCTCAATTATAGCTACGTAGGTTTAGGAAGCTGCGTCTCCAGAAGGTTTTCCCCCCAGCTTGCACTCTGGTGAAAGCTTGAGGTATTAGGAAGGAGTGGTGTAGAATCTTTGCCTTGCTTACTGGATACCTCTGAAAACCTCAAGCGATTCACTCAGTTCCTCAAGGCCTCGGAGTCCGCGTCGCTGAAATGAGATAGAGTTAAGACTTTGTAAGTGTGAATAGCATTGAACAAGTGTATGAGGACAGTGCAGCCAGTGAAGAGAGGCTGGCAGAGAGTGGGGTTCTTGATAACCGGGCACCTGAGAGGATTTGTTTTGGTGAGGGGCATCAAAACTGTTCCACGAGTATCTTAATTTCTTACAGGTTACTGAGAGGTCAGGGGATTATAGACTCAGCATTGTCTTGGGCAAAGGGCGCAAATCTGTGTGAGTCTGTTTCTCAGAGGATTGTTTATATTATGTGATTTTGTTTTTCAGAGTAATGGGACCACTGAGCACCAGGTAGAATCCTTCATACGGAAAAAACTGGAATCATTGCTGAGGGAGTCTCAGATCCGAGACAAAGAAGACCCCGACAGTTTCACAGTGAGGGCTTTGCTCAAGGCCACGCATGAAGGCTTAAACGCACACCTGAAGCAGGTAGACGATTTCCTCTCGAAATCACCCTTCAACAGAGAACAATGCACCCTCCCCTTCACTTTCTAAGCACTTTTCCTTTGGGAGATGCACTGCAGACTTCTCTGTCTGTCCTCTGAAAGCTTGAGAAACAAAAGCCTTCCGCAGAGTAAGGGCAATTCATATGCATCGAGCCGAGTGTTGTCCTGAGCATCGAAAGTACCAACTCAGGTCGATGCTTCTATCTCAGATCGCACAAGACGGCTGCGCTGTGCACCGTTGGCTTGGAGTCCTATTAAATGCGCCCAGTTTCACTCTTAAATCATCTTAGTTGGGACAACAAGTGATATAATCCTCCTTCCAATCGATGGGCTCTTAGGGGCGCCAAAGAACTCATGGGTTAACAGGCTCCGTCTTCTCCTGTTTACCAAATGAGAAAATGGAAACCAAGAGGAGGGTCATGGCTTTGGTAGCAATACTGTTTCTCCTAGCTTAGGGAGAGTAGGGTCAGTTCTAGGACCAATGTCTGTGTTCTTTCTAATCTATATGGTTAGTGATCAGTGAGTGCTACTAGATTTTTATAGGCAACGCACACACATAAAGTAGTCAAGGGTGAGCCAATGTCCTCTCGTAGACCCCTGGTTCCTACCCCTTGCCAGTCTTTCGGTGGGTCAGTGCCTGGGGTCTTCCTTACTGTCTCTCGCATGAGTTGCTTGTGATATCTGTCTCTGACTTTAGCAGACACTTCTTTCGGCTTCTTTACTTTAAGTGGCTGGCTTGTCCACCTTAGTTCTGTTGGTGCGTCTCCTTCTGGTTAGTTGGGCTGGTTCTGCAGGTCTCCACACAATGAATTTCAGGGGCAACAACCAAAAAAAAGCATCTGAACCCTTTCAATGGGGTATTTCTGCTCCCACTCCCACATGTGGGCTACCACAAGGGAGGACTTGCTCACCTCCTCTGCCTGGAAAATTAACTCATATGAGGAGTCTCCAGAGGCTTGAAAGGCCTGAAGTAATCAGGCTTCAGGCTGAATACCCCGGTGATGTCCTGAGCTCAATAACCGGACAGTAGGATGCAAACTGCAAGAGGTTTATTGTTTATACAGGCGATTCAGCAGCCTTAGCTAACTGAGCACACTGGGCTTTAGGACAGTTTTCTTTTTATATACATAATTTTGGCAAGAGAAGCAATAGGGGTATTGTAAAAGCAGAGCCACTGCAGGTGCAGATCTGGGCAAGCAATAGGGGTATTGTAAGAATGTGGGCATCCTTCCTGGAGAAACTACAAGGTCAAAATTAAACTTATCTTAACAGCCTGCCGGTGTCCTGTATCAGCACTCTGGACCAGATGTTCTTTTTTATCAGACCTTGTTCCCTGTCTAGGGGACCTTGGGGAATTTTCCACTGAGGCGACCTTCTGAGTCTTAAAAAGGGGGGGAGGGTGTATTGAGGTTTTTCAGGCTAAAATTCCAGTCCCCGGAGCTTACCACCAGGGCGATGGTTTCGATGCACAGACGAGGATCCCCGTGATTTCCTTAAGGGAATGACAGTGATACGGCTGGGTTTTATCTATAAGACTTTAAAAAATCCCAAACTACAGTGTTTGGTGTGAGCATTTTCTGTACTTGCCTGGTCAGGCTTCTTACCTGCTTCTGCCTGCTTTCGAAAATTAAAACTCCCCTAAACTGGAAATGATGTACCCCCACCCGGGACGTTCGGAAAGCCGTTTTCTGATTTTTATGCGCACAGGGAATAGGAATGGAGGGCCAGTAGAGCCGCTGACCCCTTGCTGCGAGCTCAGCTTCGGCTTCAGGAAGCCATGGGCCAGCGCTGTATGCTGGCAGCCCTGGCGGTGTCCCCTTCTTGCAGCAGAAACAGCCGCAACTGAGATGCCAGAGGTGTGGAGCGGGAAGCGGTGTGAACCGGGGAAGAGGAGAGGGTCCCGCTGCTTCCTGCCAGAGCTTAAGCGGAGCAAAGGGCAAGGGCAACCATTACATTCTGCTTATTTTATTTATGCAGAGCCTGGACGTGAAGGAAAGTGGAAAGAAGTCCCACGGACGATCTCTGATGACCAACTTTGGGAGACACAAGGTGTGTACTAGTAATAGTGGTGAATGTGCACAGTTCAGGTGATTTAAAGAGTCTTTAAGTAGCAGGGTGACACTGTATTGCAAAGGCCTTGGAAAGGCTGAAGTTTTCGCCAAGAAGACTTCTAAAGGAGGAAGGTTTGAAATTCAAAGAACTCTGGAAGTTAGAACTTCTGTTAATCAAAAGTATGAAAAAAAATCAAGTTGTGTTTTGGAAGTCTTTTAAATAAACATATCCAACAGAGGGCTCGTATTCTGAATATTTAAGCCATTTCTGCAAGTAAGACAGGCAGTTTGCATTTCCAAAAAAAACCAAAACAAACCAAAAGCTAAGACGCGCCTATCATAAAGCAGATAGCATGAAAAAAGAAGCCCATGGCAGGGAAACGAGGCTTACCTTTGGAGGTGTATGGGAAGCGAAAATCGCAATTATGTTGTCATTCCCTGGACACCATGATGGAGAGCATCAAAACACCAGAGAGACCGAGTGTCTGAATGCCGAACGACACGTACTCACTCTGCTGAGGTACAGAAACCACTCTGGCCCTCAGAGCGACAGTCCCACCTCTTAGCAGCCTCACCGTATGGTTTATGGCCAAGACAGAAACAACAGTTTAACAGTGGCATTTGTAACGGGGCAAGTAGTGAACAGCCCAGAGGTTCATTAACTATAGAATCAGTTAAATGTGGCAGATCACATCCGGACTGCTGAACAACTACAAAAAAAAAAAAAAAAAAAAAAAAAAAAGGATGCAGTTACATCTATGTGCTATGACGGGATCTCTCAAACATTTGAGCTAAAGAAGTAGGACTTGGAGTGCATGCAGTGTGAGTATTATCGTATGAAATTCAAAACCCTGTTTAAAAAAAACGCGCTACGGGGTAGACGTTAGGGGAGTTACCAAGGGTCGTCATTAACTTTGAGGGAAAAGTAAGGACCACTGGGGAGGATTAGGAGATTTTAGGGATCAGGTGGGAGACTTGCTTCCTTGCTAGAGTGCTTTCGCTTTGCAGAAAAATCATCATTCAGTGCACATAAACTGTGTGCTTTTGCAAATATATGTGACACCACAGTAAAGTGGTGAAAACGTTACACAGGGCGTCAGTCCCCATGGCTCAGCACGTAAAGTGTTTGTCGCCAAGACTGATGGCCTGAGTTCCTCATGACCTACATGGTGGGAAAAGATGAAGTTACTCTGACAGACTGTCCTCCGATGTCCAAATGTGAGCTGTGGCACACTCACACACACACACACACACACACACACACACACACACACACCTGCACACATAAGGTACATGTAACTAAACATTAATACAGCAAATCAGTTCTTAGGTGATGAACTTAACCACTGAGGTTTGCGGTGGGACGTTTTCTACTATTGTGAGGGACGTTCCATCTAGAGTGTCTGTAAGTAGGATACTTTAGGGAAACTTGTTATAGTGGTTAAAGAAATATAAAAAACCAACTGCTCAGTTGTAAAGAGCGATTGGTCGAGCCAGGATTCACTTGGGTATTGGGAAGGTGTGAGGCCACTGGGAGCTGATCTCTGGAGATCTTGACGTGCAAAACGTGCAACAAAGAAGTATGATGAAAATAGATTCTAGGCGTGGTAGCCACAATCTCAAGTATATCATGTATCAAAACTGTGCCAGGAAAAGTGTCACCATTAATCATTCTTTGTTTTGTTTTTGTTTTTGACATAGCATCTTGTTGTGTAGTCCAAGCTGGTCTTACACTCCCGCTGAACCTCCTTCCTCCGCCTCTCAAGAGCTCAGATTACAGGTGTGCACTTCCACCCTGACTTTAGTTATTAATTTTCTAACTTTTCTTATATCTTATAATAATAATGCATATTCTGAGGTACGCCTTCCAGAAGCATTACAGCTTGTTTGTGTGTTAAAATCAAGTCCCATCTCCGTATGTTGTGAATGCGCCTGATGTAATGACTTAGTAAGTTTACTATGCTTTTTTTTTCCAACAGAAAACTACAAAATCACGTTCTAAATCCTATAGCACTGACGACGAGGAAGATATATTTCCAAATCCTGGCAAGGAGGGAGGCCAGCTGTACAGGTAAGAAAGCATCTCCATGCTTGCTGCTCGGCCTCCAGGGACCTCTCTGCCCTATGATCCAGGTTGTTTTAGTTGTGTGTCTAGAGATTGGGAGGGATAACATGGTAAGGCGTTGGAATGAAACACAGAGGTCAAGGTAGAGATACTCTATGGGGGGAGCATGGCACAGGTGAGGTGTTGAGCCCATGCTCCTGGCAGTATTGTCAGGTGAGGGTAGCCAACAGTAGTACCGTCTGCTTTCTGACTGGGTTTGAGGACTGTGCTCTTTAAAGGAATGCATATCTGGTACTATAAATGTGGTGAAGAGCCTATAGCTGAGGAGAGCAACAGACCTTTCAAGGAATAACCCACTAACACCGTTTGCTCACACGACGAGTAGCCAAACTGCTGTCTAACTATCGGTGCTTGTAACCACAGACCGCTGCTGCTCCCAGCCTTGAGCAGAACAGCTTCTCTATGCAGTGAGCAGCATTTCATGGAAACACTTGTAACGTAGTGACCGTTCAGTGCCCTGCTCCAAAAGGAACATCTCCACCACACCCTCTGAGGCCCTTGGAACATCATGGAAGAGAGGATGTAAGAATCAGAGGATTAGGAGGCGTGTTAGGAAGCACTGTTTTCTGGCTGTGGTGTGGCCATTGCAATTATGAACACACAACGGCTGTGGATCACAGCACGAGACCTGCACAAGACCTTCAGCAATCCATCCTTGATGAGGGAGGGGATTATGAGGTTCTACCACTCCCCGAGGAGCAGTTAGATGGTTCTAGGAGTAAGGGAGTATCAGTGGTGTAGCTATGGATAAATGTCCTAAGCTTTTGCAAGTGACCTCTTGCACATACTCATATCAATAACCCTAATTTATCTCAGTGGGTCCAAAAAGAAGACATGAAAGTAGAAGGAGGCCATGCTGGGGAGAAATGAGACAGCAGGATCGAGAAAAGAAAGAGAGAGGGTAATAATGGGTTACCCCCACATGGTAATAATGGGGTACCCCCACATAGTAATGCCGCTATTACACCAGCGAGCATATCTTGCCTGGTACACGGTCCTTAGCTTGGTAAGAGTTTTCTCCCACAGTGGCTGGCAGAACACATACTAGCACTATGGAAGCTGGTGAGCAGGAAAGAAGCTTCCAATAAACAAACTAACACTAAGAACTGGGCGGTGGTGGTGCACGCCTTTAATCCCAGCACTGGTAGGCAGAGGCAGGCGGATCTCTATGAGTTCAAGGCCAGCCTGGTCTACAGAGCAAGTTCCAGGACAGACAGACCTAAACAGAGAAACCCTGTCTCAAAAACCAAGGGGGAAAAATAAATAGAGATGCTTCCAGTCAGTTTCATCATGTTCTTCAGGCAGAGTGTATGGTGTCTTCAGCAATGGAATCTGGAGAAAATCTTTGCCAGCTATACATGTGATAGAAGATTAGTGTCTAGGATATTCAAAGAACTAAAGCAAAGCTAAGCATTAAGATAACCCACAATAGTAAGCAACCAGGAACAATGGCCACAGCCTACATTGTTTCAGAAGCTCCTGCAATCTCCTTGACCAACAATCCATAGGGAATACTCTACCCTTAGTGCTGAGAGTTTCGTTTAGAAACTATGCCTTCTGGATGTAGCAGTATCTACCGGTGCACACTGCCTCCATTCAGACTTCTAAAATTGAATTTTGTCTTTTTTTAATTAATTAAACCTGATCTTTAACAATTCCATTCATTTATATAATGAGTTCTGACTACTCTCACTCCCTAGCCTCTCTTATCTTACTTCTACTCCTGTCAGCCCTCCCTTCTCCCTATAAATCTCTTTCCCACATTTGTATCCTTTTGTTTTGTGGTCCAATGAGTTTAAACAAGCCCATCTGGGTGATCATGAGCTTAGACCTAGCCATTGGAATCTGGCGAGCTCACTGATGGACACATGATTGAAGACAATGACTCTTTTTCTCCTAGGATCTATTAGTACCAGTTGTTCAACAGGGGGTGGTGAGGCCCCACAAGCCCCTCCCTCATCAATGATTGACTGTTGACCGGGCCAGTCTTAGGCATGCTCAGGGTAGATTGTCACAGCCGTTGCTGCTGATTGCAATGGCTGTGTCAGACTCAGAAGATGACACTGGCCAGCCTTCTCCCTGTCTTCTGGCTTTTACATTCTTGTCGCTGCCTCTTCTGCAGTGTTCCCTGAACCTTAGACGGGGAGGTCTAAATGTCTGTTTTTAGGACTGAGCATTCAACCGTCACTGTTGCCAGTGCTTTGAGCAGCCGTGAGTCTCTGTGTTCACCATTATTCACTGCAAAGAGAGCCTCTCAGGTGTAGGCTGGGAGTAGCAATTGTCTATGTCTAAACATAGACAGAGGGCAGTCTTTAGCTATGTCAGTTTGTCTTAAGAAGAAAAAAAATAGTAGTAGTAAGCTCCAACCCAGGGCCTACGACTTCACCAGCCACCTGTTTTGGGCTGGTTTTATAGTACCATGCACGGATTCTCTCCCGTGGAGAGGGCCTCAACTTCAACCAAACAGCAGCTGGTTATGCCCATAGTGGGCTCTTCTTGCTAGGCAGGTGGGTATTATAGTTGTTCATGTTCCCAACCTTAAGACTGTGATGCCTTTTCTCCCCCAGCAGCCCCCTTGTTGCTCTCTGAAACCCAGCTGGCAGGGATGAAAAACGCTGGGTTCCAGCTTCACTTCAGTTTCTTGCTGCCAATGTATATGGTAGCCTCAGCAATTGTACCATATCATCTCGTCCTGGTAGACAACCAAGAGAAGTGACCAAGAGCCTGTATTGTGTTGGAAGTCTCTGGGCCCTCCCTTAACCAACAGTTCACCTGAAGGCCTCCCTCCCACAGCTTACTTAACTCATGGCTTCTAGGCATGACGTTATCTGCCATGCAGGCCATCTCCCTCCTAACTCTTTGAAAAATAGTATTAGCTTATAAAACAGGTTTCTTTTAAAAGATATAAAAATTACTCTGTGTGTGCATGCATGCATGTGTGTGTGTGTGCTGCATGTGTGTGCATGTGTGTATGTGTGCACGCACGCACACATACATGCATGCACATGTCACTGCAAGTGTGTGGAGGTCAAAGGACACTTTGTGAATGTGAAAGTTAGTTCTTTCCTTCGACCATGTGAATTCTGTCATTCAAACTCAGGTTGTCAGACATGGTAGCAAATGCCTTTGCCCACTGAGTAGGTTTCTCTTTTACTTTTTCATACATTCTTAGATTTGGTTAACCCCCGCCCCCTTTCTCTTCATGCCCAGCTCCATCTCTGTTTAAACATCTCTGCACCTAGTCTTCCCCTCTCTCCCTTTGCCAGATATACACTGGATGGAGAATTAGCACCTAGAATACACAGAACACTGAAGAAACTAATGTAATAGCCTAATTTATAAAAAAGGGGGGGCCTATGGAGCTGAACAGAGAGTGCTCAAGGAAGGAAAGACAAATGGCTATTAAACACTAGTGTTTGACATCACTGGTCACCAGGGAGATGCAAATTAAGACGCTGTAACAGTTTGGGAACGATCTCACCCTAGTCAGATGGCTGTTATCAAGAAAAAGAATGACAAAATAATGATGGCGAGGATGAGAGGAAAGGGGACCTTCATTCACTGTTGGTGGGAGTATAAACTGGCGCAGCCACAGTGGAAACCAGTCTGGAATTCCTGGAAACACGGGAAGTAGAGTTTCCATATGACTCGGCCACACTTCTCCAGGGGCATGTACCCAGAGGACTCCTTGTGCCTATCACGGAGATAACCTGCACATCCATGTTAACTGCTGTTCTGGTAGCAATAGCTGGGAAATGGAATCCGCGCACGGGTCCGCCAGCCCTCCAATGGCTAATGGGCACGTGGTGCTTACGCATAACGGAGTCGAGTTCAAATGTGAAATTATGAAATTTATAGGAAAATATTATAGTGGGCCAAGTAACCTAGACCCAGAAAGACAGACACTTGTCTCGCTCGTATGGAGAACTTCACTTCGGTTTTCTAGATTTCAGTGTTTAAACTGTGTGGAGTAGCTCTGGAGGCTAAGAAACAAGAAAAGAGTCCAGAGATTGGGGGTGTGGAGGCTGAACAAGGAGGGCTAGAGTAAACACATGATCTGAAAATAGAGGGGATGCTAGGTGCGGAAAATTCCCTGATCCCCTTTTTTAAAGCTGCCGTCGGCAGTGTTATCATGATGACTGTGTTCAGAACCTAATTGTGGCCCGTGCTGTGATCAGGACTTCCTGGCAGTCACAAAGGAACATAATCCATATTGTGGGTAGGTAGATAGATGTGGGTGGGGACACACATGTACACACACACACACACACACGCACACGCACCCACTCACGCATGCATGCATGCATGCAACATTGTCTCTTTACTGGACAGAGAAATGGAAGCCATACATAGAGGCCTTAGAGGATTACTTTATAATAGGGCCCTAATGGGATGCTCATGCATCAGACACTCATTAGTGAGGGCAGAGGAGAAATGTGCAGAAAAATTGAATATCAGTTGCAGTAAAAGATACAGGACAGGCAGGAACACCTATCAGACCTTTACTATTTCCAAATCAAAGTGTCTGAATCATAGCTAGGGAAGGGACAGCATTTGGAAAGCCTCATTATTCTTCATGCATTCAAATGAGGTGTCATTACGGGTATTGCATGAAATAAGGTCACATGCTGCTCTTGAGGCAGTTAGAGATTTGCCCCTCATACCTGTGAGAGCCTGAGCACCTCATACAGTCACCATGCGACTTCACTAACCCAATTCACTATTAGGATGAAAACTACAAAGAGCTAACTTCGTATAGAACGTCTCTGTGCCACTGACTGTCTTGGGAGTTTTGCTTGTGAATTTTAAGCATGATCTCACAACGATTCATTCACTTTTTTTTTTAATCTTTAGTATCTAGTTCTTAAACCTTTTCATCATCCTAAGGAAAAAAATCTCTACCCCTCAGCAGTCACTCTGCTCCCCTCTCCTTTCTGTCCCTGGGTAGACTTTTTCCTTGACAGACATTTGACCTTTTAAAAGTATCTGGCTTCGTTCCTTTAGTTTTGTGTTTCCAAGATCCACTCACACTGTGGCATGCATATTCTCTGTTCAATTTTATTGACTACCTATCTACCATATGACTATATTTTATTTTATGTATTCATTTAGTAGTTGGAGAATGTTTTGGTAGGTTTCCCTTTGTTGGTTGTTAAAAAGTATTGCCATGCATAGTCACATGCAGGATTTTACATCAATGTAGCATTGCTAGGTAACAATGTAACTCTTTTCACTTGACCAACGACCAAATAATTTCCAAAGGGAAGTGAACCATTTATATTCCCCCAGTTGTGCATAAGGTTTTGAGTTTCTTCCTGTCGTCACTCACTTACCTTTTTAGTTATAGCCATCCTAATAGAAGAGACATGGTACCTTCTTGTATATTTGTGTTTTGCTGTTGACTAATGATGTTCATTAGTATCTTATGTGATTATTGGCCATTTGAATGGTGTTGATGGTCATTGAAGTGTTTGATAGTTAAATGTCCTAGAGGAGAAATGTTGTGTGTGTGTGTGTGTGTGTGTGTGTGTGTGTGTGTGTGTGTGTGTGTGTGAGCAATGAGGTGGCATGTAGAGATTTTACTGTGTTAAAGAGCAGTGCTTGAATATGTAAGGCTATAGTCAAGATTATGAGAATGTTTTGTAGGGAGAAAACTTAGAAGGTACCTATGGAAGCTAAATTTCACATGAAATATAATGCCTAGTCATTTAAAGAATACCTAAAATACTTGTAATTATATTTCTAAAGACAAATCACTGTGACATTTTTGATTCATTTCTTTTTAGGTATTTAGATTTCTATACGTACTTAGTCTAACTCAATTTCCTGGGATCACTGCCTACCTGGGCAGTGGTGGAACCAAGCCCTTTTTCATAAGAGAACTAAAAAAGGCAGACTCCCTGCAGAGCCTGAATAAAACTAAAGTGGTCGAATGGTGTAGACTTGGGAGAAGTACTAAAAGGGGAGTCAGACCTGGGTTCCAGTCCTGGCTCCATTCAGCCCCAGGGAAGTCCTCTTATTCATTCTTTGAAAGGGAAGGTGATACGACCAGAGGCTTGCAACCCTTCCAGCTCTAGGCTCACTAAAATGAGTGTCTGCTCTGCAGGCTGGGCCGCCGAAGAAGAACCATGAAACTCTGCAGAGAGCTCTCGGATTTGGTGGTATACACAAACTCGGTGGCAGCCCAGGACATCGTGGATGATGGTAAGGTCCAAGAATCTCTTTGTTCTTTTGCATCAGTGTTCATGAGGGATATTGGTCTGAAGTTCTCTTTCTTAGTTGTGTCTTTGTGTGGCTTGGGTATCAACATTATTGAAGCCTCATAAAAAGAGTTTGGCAATGATCCTTCTGCTTCTGTTTTGTGGAATACTTTCAGGAGAATTGGTATAAGTCCATCCCACAATGAGGGATGCTCTCTCAGCCTGGACACATGGGGGTGAGCCTAGGCCCTGCCCTGGATGAAATGACAGACTCTGGATATCCCCCATGGAGGGACTCATCCTCTCTGGGGAGCAGAGTAGGGATGAGGGGCTGGGAGTTGGTGGGGGTGCAGGGAAGGAGGGGAGGGAGAGGAAGCTGGAATTAATGTGTAAAGCAAGCTTGTTTCTAATTTAAATAAAAGAAGAATCTCTTGCTCTTGTCAACACTCTTGACTTTTTTTGTCATTGTTAGTTAATGACCAGATCATTTCCACACATGTCTGGGACTATATGGAGTCCTGTTTGTCAGGAAGCCAATGGCTAACATGATTCTGAGCTCACACATGGGGGGTAGGCTATGTTGATTATTGGTAAGTGCCTGACTTCCTGAAGGTCAGAGATGTTTCCTATGGGGCGGAGAAGGCTTTTATTATCGTGAAATGACAAAGGCTTCAGAGTCAGGTCTCATTCCAGGACTGGAACTGCAGAGACCTGACCTACCTTCGTGGCCAGACCACAGATGGCCATTTCAAGTGTGAATGACCAGAAGGAGGGAATTAGTTAGCTTCGGCAATACCCGGGAGAAACCATATTTTCTCATGAAACATTTTGCCTTGGAATAAAGTAGTTTATTTCACTGACTGAAGTTTTAGCAAAAGGAGTAGACGTGTTTCGGTGTCACTGGTTTTCATGGATTTTCACGTGTTCTTTTCTTTTTGAAAAGTATTTATTTATTATGTGTATAAATGTCTTGTACCACATACATGCTTGGTGCCTGTGGAGTCCAGAAGTGGGTGTCGGGTCCCCTGGAACTGGAGTTACAGATGACCGTCAGCCATGGTGTGGGTGCTGGGAACCAAACCACGGTCCTCGGCAAGTGGTGTCAACTCAGAGCCGTCTCTCCAGCCCTGTCTCGCTGCTGTCCACTGTACCAGCTGAGAGGACCCAGCCACAGCTGCCACCATCTTTGAGTCTCCTCGTTATTCTTTCCCTCACTGCCTTCTACTTCATTCCAGCACCAAATGTTTACTGAGGAGCAATAGACCTGCGGTGTTTCCATCCATTTTGACTTCAGTGGAGTGAAATGGAAACTAGAGCCTCCATTTCCTCACTAGTCTCAGAGCAAAGACGAGCTGGGGACAAGGATGTTGTCCTCACAGGCCTCAGACTCCTCACTCAGCTCTTTCTGCCATAATCCACAAGTCCTTTTTCCGTCAGTGGCACACACCTTTAATCCCAGCACTTGGGAGGCAGAGGTAGGCGGATCTCTGTGAGTTCGAGGCCAGCCTGGTCTACCGAGTGAATTCCAGGACAGCCTCCAAAGTTACAGAGAAACTCTGTCTCGAAAAACAAAAAAAAAAAAAAACAAAAAAAAAGTACTTTTTCTTTGGCATCCATTGAAAGATGACTTTCCTTCCACCTGGGTCTGGATTTCTTCTCGAAACAATGGCGGTTATACAGAGTTTAAAGGAACACCATCTGTGAGAAGAGAGGAACCTCAGGACTCTCAACTAGCAGGCGACGCTTTTTTATACTAACTGCCATGGCTCCCAGATTAACCCAGGGAGTTGAAGGTGTAGCTGGCTTACGGGATGCACATATTGACTAGTAATCTCTTTGGAAATCATAAGCTTAGTAGCTTCGGGAAAATAATCTTGAGTACTGCTTACTTCTTAATCTTCATCTGTTTTGCCTTTCACTTTTTTAAAAAAGATGCAGAATGAGCAGTACACAATGAATATGCACCTTATGTTTATGTAAAACAACTCAATTCTGTTAAAATACAAATCGGCATGAGCTTAGTAAGAGAGGTCACCTTTATGATAGGGTTTGAGTCTGTTTATGTGGAGAACCAGAAAAAAAAAAAAAGGAACTCAGGTACTGATTACAGTGGTTCTCCGTATGAACTGGGTTTATCATTAAGTATATTTTCTCCTGCTTTATTCAGACTGAATCTGCACGTACATTCAATTTTAGTTTTGTTGAAATGCATAAACCCCGTTGATGTGTTCTGTCAATACTATATATTAGTAATTATTTTCAGAGGAAGGGCCCACACTAGAGAAATCAGTAGGTTAAAAACTATAGTCCTCTCTCTCTTTTCCTCCTGAGCTCTGACTAGTTCAAGTTCCAGCTATGGAATGTAGTCCTGGACTCAACTTTTGACACCTAAGGGAACTGAGCCCTCAGGACAACAGGTGCTTGACAGACCGCATCGCCAGCAAACCAGCCAGACAGAGGTGGTCTGAGCCCAGCAACCTCCATTCCACTCTTTGTTTCTGCAGACGCTCATGTTGTTAGAGCCTGAGTGAGAACGAGACCCAGGTCAAGCCCCCGCTCTTTATTCAGGCTGTGCTTTCATGGCAGGTCCAGCGGACAGGGGAGTCAACATTTGGTTCCAGGATATGATACTTGATAAACCTGTGTAGCAACTATGGCACCATGGAGATAGATAGGGACAAAATGGGGAATGGTAAATATTTGAAGTTTTATTCTGCGTGACCCTCAGATCTGTAGACTCTAGATTGACAACATTTTTGTTGCTCAAGCAGAAACCCAAATGCAGGCACCATGCATTTTTTTTACCTCTCTACATTTTACGCTTTATAAGCATAACTGGGTGGACAATTTTCAGTGTTTTTAACATGTTTTATATTTTATGTAATATTTACTACTTATATTTACAGTATTTACTCCCCTGTCCCCCACCAACCCCCTACCCCATCCCCTCTCTGCTCCCCAGGGAAGGTGAGGCCTTCCATGGGGGGATCGTCAAAGTCTGTCATATCATTTGAAGCAGGGCCTAGGCCCTCCCCCATGTGTCCAGACTGAGAGAGCATCCCTCTATGTGGAAGGGGCTCCCAAAGTCGATTCGTCATATACCTTTTCTTATGCTGATCTTAGGACAGTGTCTAAGTTGCCTCAGATGGCACTGAAGTCATTTACAGTGCAGGCAACACTTAAGCTTGGAATCTTCCTCCCGGCCTCCGAGTTGCTGGCGTTATAGGCCTTCTGCACAGCACTGTCTCTCTGAGGACTCTCTTCCAAACGGGTTTTGATTGGCTCCGTGAGGATTCAGATCACCTTCAAAACTCAAGTTTTCTTTTTTCAATGTGGCATTTTTTCGTTCTTCATTTTCTTGGACCCTGAATATTGTCTACTAGTACATGTATTTCACATGTGCTTCCAATGTTTTAACTTTCAGGGCGTGTGTGCTGCTTGTATGTATGTGCATGTTTATAATGTGTACAGCACGCATGCAAATGGAGTCCTAAGGATGTAGAGGCCTGGGATTTTTTTTTTTATGTTGGAAACCACCCTCCATGGCTCTTCAACCTTATTCACTGAGGTGGGGGTCTCTCAGCCAAACCCAGAGCTCACCCATCTGACTGGTCTTGCTAGCTAGCATACTGTGGATCTCTGTTGTCTCCACCTTCCCAAGGTGGAATTACAGCGAGGCCACCACAGCCACCCGGCATTTATGCGGGTTCTGGGTATCTGAACTCTGGTCCTCACAGTCACACGGCAAGTGCCTAGTCACCGAGCCATCCTCCCAGCCTGCCATGCGAATTTCTAATGAGCGACTTCAATGTTTGTCTTCCCGGTGCCAGGGGTTAGCGTGTGTGCGCAGTTTGATTCATTCTCCGTCACCTGTAAATCTTCGCCAAAGACCTTGTTGATTATCATGCACCTACAAAATAATTTTTCCTCCTGCCTCTTCTTGCTGACCAGACACGAGATAGTGAGACGATTGAATTCTGGGAGACCGTGGGATACCACAATGGGGCACCTTAGTAAATAAAGTTCTCTTTTGGCCTTGCTTTGTCAACAGAGCCCTAAGAATATAATCTGGGGGTCTGTTTTGATCAGGTGTTGCTTGCACTGTGGCTTGTTAAGCAGCGAAGTTTGTCTAATGCTTTGTTCATGCCTGTTCACGTTGGGCCTGTCCTCTGTCTCTAACAAGCTGCAGCCTAGCACGATGGGTTCGGAGACTTTAGCTTCTTAGTCTGAAAAGCAGCTGAGTTCCCGATAAGCGTCAGTTACAGCAGCTCCTGTTCTGGGGAAGGTTCAGATAGCACACGCCAGCTGCCACCACCCAGAGTGTCCCAAGTCTTGTGCCCCCTGATACTGCCTTTCCGTGGCTCTACATATAACTTGCTCTGGCGGGAATGAGTCACTCTGAAGCCCTTCTGGATCTGGAGTGAAACCTTTAATTTGTGAAAGGTCTATCGTGGATTTGATATGTCTAAAGTCTTGAGTGTAACAGGTTGGAGCCAGGTGTCCGCCTTGGGCTGTGGATGGGCTCTGGCTTTATCCAGGCTTTTATGATAGAGTTGGCTCGGGTGCACTTATCACGTTCGTATTTCTTTGACCGCTAGGGACCACGGGGAATGTGTTGTCCTTCAGCGAAACAAGAGCACACCAAGTGGTTCAGCAGAAGTCAGAGCAATTCATGATCTACAACCAAAAACAGCTCACAAGGATCTACCCCTCTGCCTACCGCATCGATTCCAGCAACTTCAACCCTCTGCCCTACTGGAATGCAGGCTGCCAGCTGGGTACGCGTGGCCCGAGAGGAGCGGTCCTCCCCATTGTCTCCCTACCTCGACAACCGCAAGCTGTCTCTAATCCTCTCCAACTTTCCACTTTCGCAGTGGCTCTGAACTACCAGTCGGAAGGACGAATGATGCAGTTAAATCGGGCAAAGTTCAAGGCGAATGGCAACTGCGGCTACATTCTCAAGCCCCAGCAAATGTGCAAAGGTGAGCGCCCATTCCATGGCTGTACCTGAATGCAGGTGGTACTCTGCATTCTCAAAATGTATCATTATTGTTAACGTAGGCACATGCGTCTTTATGTATGCTAGTGGGGGTCAGCGGGCAACTTTGTGGAATCTGTTCTCCCCTTCCACTGTTGTGGGTCCCAAGGACAGGGCTCATGCCTTTAGGCTTCATGGCAGGTGCGTTACCCGCTGGACTGGATTTATAGAAGTCAGAAAATTAAGTTTCTGTTTGCTACTTAATGTCAGATTTTCTTACTGTCTCTTGTGTTTGTTCTAGACTCGAGATAGCTTAGAGAATTATTAGAATCTGACATAACCGCCCTTGTTGTGATGTTGTAGGTGTTCAACTATATTGTTCATCCATGTTATGGTTGCGACGTAGACATAGGTGTAAAGTATCCCATCCCCTGGCTTACGGGGACAGAGTGCAGGGAACACAGCTACGGAAATGCTGAAAGTTACATGACAGTTTCTTAGTTCTAGCAAGCACTGTGATAAATGACAGTGCCGTTTGACAAGCTTAAGCTCTGTGTGTGTGTGTGTGTGTGTGTGTGTGTGTGTGTGTGTGTGTGTGTGTGTGTGTGTGTGTGTTCCTATGATTCTGACCTCTAATTTACTTGGCCTAGGTACTTTCAACCCTTTCTCTGGTGATCCGCTTCCTGCCAACCCCAAAAAACAGCTCATACTGAAAGTGATCAGCGGGCAGCAACTTCCCAAGCCTCCCGACTCCATGTTTGGAGACCGAGGCGAGGTAAGTTACACCTGACGGCCTTGTTGAGTACCAGGTTATTCTGTTGTGTTTAAGCAGCCATCTCAGTGTCTTTAGGGGTATGTGTGTTTCTCTGTGTTGGGGAGTATGGATGTTTGTATATGAGTGTGTGTGTCCATGTATGCATGTGGGTGGGTCTGCGTGTACGTGTGTCTGTGTTCCTAAGTGAACACTGACTTCCACTTACCAGACATGAGCTGGTTTTCCATCAGTCACGCAGAGTTCCTGCAGGGCTGTAATGTCACCTCTTTTGGAGGCTTGAAGGCATGATACTAGTTCACAGTTCAAGATTAATGCTGGCAGCCAGGATGTAAAGAACAAAGGCTAAGGTCATCATTGACTGAAATATGATCCAAAGCACGTATGTAGCTTCCAAATCCCGTATGTCCAACAGCCTTCCTCACAGCTCATGCTCCGTGGCCACGTGCAGACTGCTGTTACCAGCTGCTGTGCCTCTGTTGCGGGATGCAGCAACCTTTTATTTTCTCCCTGCTGTCCAGGCTGTCCTTCTCTCAGGGCTGGCCCATCACCCCGGGCTCTCTGCATTTTCAACCCCTCAGCTTTCATATCTGATTTTCCCTTTGGGACCACACAGCCCTGCATGCTCAAACCACGGTGGATACTTTGTGTCAAACTGTATCTGATCCGTATGCAGCAGATGAAATATAGCACCACATCACACACACTCAACCTCCCTGGGCTCCTCCCACTCTTCATAATGGCTCTTTCCAACCTCCCTGTATTTATTAACGGGTAGCACGGTTATCTGAGAGGAATGCATCAGCCAGGGCCATTGCCTCCATGTCTACTGAGGCTGTCTCCCACGGACCCCTTTTCTTTTCTGCCGTGTGTACAACGGCAGGGAATAGTTAGTTGATGTGATTTGAAAGTTTTTGCTTATTTCTTTATACCTAAAAGAAAAAAAGAATGCACATTTCTTGTATCTCTCAAGCTTTTCATTTTTGAGAAGTCTTTAGCACCGGAAAAGCTGCAAGAATAGTACAATGGATCTCCTCAGTTCACTAATTCAGTTATTAAATCGTATAGCACATGCTGTGCTATCCCTTTATTATATGCGTATTTTGTAAGTATTATGTTGGGGGTGGTATATGTTTGCTTTCCTTGGCAGTCATTTGTGACTCTCTCACTACTTGTTGATGAAGAGCAAAGGCATTCTCCTGCAAAACTGCAACAAGATACAATCTTATCTAATATAATACCTACATCTAATCTTTTTATATTATCCTCAGATTGTCTCTATCTTCTTTTTCAATTGGATCACATGAAATTCCTTATTACCATTCTTCCTTAGTCTTCTGAGATACAAAAATGATGAATTCTCCGGGTTTTTTTTTATCTTGATTTTATAACATTGGCACCATGTAGCCATCTTACTCATGGTAGACCTTGAAGATACTTCCAGTGTTTGACCAAAAGATTGCAGCTCCTCTGAGCTTCTATGCATGGTGACCCTCCTGTTTCAGTTGGTTATGTACCTGGAACTGAAGTTGTAGGTTGTTCTTTGAGTGAAAGCTTGTGTGGAATTCGCAAATATTGGCAGACAGAATTTAATGTTTCAATTCCACTCTTCGCTCGTGTATCTAAATACGCTAGACCTGGTCTGCATTCTTTGATAGGCATGTAGTAAAATCAGCTGTTGCAGAAGTGTGAACATATGGAATAATTAACACTCACATGCACGGCAATAATATGTCCTCCCTTTTCTGCAGATCATCGACCCCTTCGTTGAAGTTGAGATCATCGGACTGCCTGTGGACTGTTGCAAGGATCAAACGCGTGTGGTGGATGACAATGGTAAGACAGGGCTCAGTGTTCACGCCCCGGGGAGGCACGCTGCAGATGCTGCAGTTTGCACTGGCTAGGAGAAATGTCCTGTGTGGGAAGCGTGATGGCTGAGATCTGTAACTGCCTTCTGCGTGTGCGTTAAACACGCTGATAAAATCCATGCACCCTGTAGACTTCTGGTTCCTTTCTGAAAAGGGAAGTGGACTTTATCAAACACATGCATTCAGGAGGAGACAAGACTGTGCCCTATAGAAAGCCTCAAGCTCATTAAATGACGGGCTGAAAACCACAGAGTCCCCCAGGGAACAAAAGAGATTATCTCTTCTGTTGACTCTGTAGTGACCCCTCAGTGATGTCTGCAGCGAAGCAAAGAAGGTTTGCTTAACACCTAAGGACCTGGGATCGATACATGGTATATTCTGAAGATATTGTTATAATCAAGACCCCTGGGACTCTTGCCAAGTCTTTCTATTAAAAAGCACGTGTGGCATCTTAAAGACATGGGCTCCGAACTCGCTTGGGGAAATGCCTTCCAGTGTGTTGCTTATAATGTGATTCTTGTGTTCTCATAAACGAGTCTCCTCGAAACTTTCATTCATGAGGCCCACATGGTTAGTCAGCCTCTCTTGGTTTTTGTTGTCATTATTGTTTGTTTGGAGCATGAAAATATCTAAAGATCGGGCCAGAATGCTATGGCCCATGCGTTTCTCTTAACATGGTGAGTGGCCAGCATTCAGTAGCGGCAAGAATGCATTGCCTTTGACCCACCAAGGCTAGCATATTTTTCTGGTTAATCTTGTAAAATTGTATTTTCTTGTTACATACATATTTCCTTAATTTATATTAACTACTAGTCTAAAATAATTTGAAATCATGGTTATCGAAGCACTTGAGAAATTGGTGGTTCATAGGGAGCCCTTGAAGGACTGTTAGTTGTTCAAAACCACAGTGAACCTGGGCGGAAGTAGCACTCCTAAAGAAAGCTCTTCTTTTGTTGGATTTTTCTCAGGGTTCAAGAAATTATTCCCTCTTCTCTTAGTTGCAGAAGTAACTGAGGGGTCACTACAGAGTCAACAGAAAAGATAATAATCTCTTTTGTTCACTGGAGGACTTTCTGATTTTCAGTCTGTCATTGTTTAATGAGCTTGAGGCTTTTTATAGGGCAGAGTGGAAATTACTAGGGGACAAACAGCATAAAAAAGATGTGTGTGGAAATAGAGTAAGTTCTTGCTTCAGGAGACGCCACTAAGAATGTGCAGTGCACAGTCTAATGTGGGCCTCTTGTTCTCCGTATGACCTTAAGCACATTTTTGTGAACAGCAGTTCTCTAAACTATATGAGTAACAGATATTTTGGATTTTCAAAAGTGTGAGTATGTGTTACTTGTATAAATTTGAAAATTTGTAGTTTGAAACCTGATGGTGTATGTATATTTTTCTTACTTAGACAAAAAACAAGCTGGGTTTGGTAGCTCATGTCTGTAATCCCAGCACATGGGTGGTGGAGACAGGAGGATCATGGGTTCAAAGCCAACCTGGGCTACTGAATGAAACTCTGTCTCAAAAAAACAAAACAAGGGAAACCCTCAAGTCCCTGCCCTGTTACTCTTACAGGGTTTCTGTAGGAATTATATAGGACTATATGTACATGACAGAATCGAAAGCTATAGAACACTGTACCAAATAGTTCTTAGTGGTTAGATACTCCAGCAGGAAAAGCTTTGGTAATTGAGAAATAGGATTCTGTCGAGGGATAACTTTCTGTAATGTTTCTGCTAAAATACTGAGAATACTACTATAATTTTTGAGCTTATTGAAGCATTTTAATAACGAGTAAGAAGCTTCCTGATACAATGGGGCACCAGAGATTAATAGAATTGATGTGATAATTTACAGGCAATTTTCCTACCAATTATTTTCTAGCAGTGGGGTAAATGCGGAGGCTTTGCTTCAGCAGGGCATCCTGGAGAGGTTCAGGCATTTTCATGAGTTTAATAACCATTACAAGCGATTTTCACTGTCTGCTCTACAGACATCACTACTAAACCATTTCCAGCCAAGCCCTTTGCTTTTTCTTATTTTTCTTTTTTCCTGTTTCTCTAAGGATTTAACCCTGTGTGGGAAGAAACCCTCACATTTACAGTCCACATGCCAGAAATAGCTCTAGTTCGGTTCCTTGTGTGGGATCATGATCCTATTGGAAGAGACTTTGTGGGACAAAGGACCGTGACCTTCAGCAGCCTAGTACCTGGTAGGTGTAAGCTGGCCTTTCCTCTCTGGGTTGGCTGTTCCTTTCTGTTTGTTTTATTTGTTTGGTTTCTACTGTGGAAGAGAAGTATATAGGGTCTAGCATATGCTGGGTTAGTGGTTTCTCTTTGGAAGACTCAATACACAGCATGGGGGACATGGTGGGGCACGTAGGATATTTATCAAATTCCTTATGTAAGTCATGTTATATGATAGACGCGTTATAGCATGCTACCTAAAATGTGAAGAACAATAGTTAAGAGACACGCCCAATTCTCATGTACTCTCTGGAGAGCCAAATGCAAATGCGACAGAAAGAAACCAACTCTTTTTGCTTCTTCAGGCTACCGGCATGTCTATTTGGAAGGACTCACAGAAGCATCCATTTTTGTTCACATAACAATCAATGAGATCTTTGGAAAGGTGAGGAGGACTGTAGACATAAAACAGTAGTATAACCTCAAGAAAGTTACCGATTACACTACAGGGACATATGTTTGACCAAATGTTCTTTTGTGGGTGTCCGTGTGGAGCTCAGCAGGCTCAGGCAGCCATGTCCCTGTCCACCTTCTCACAGACGTGGCCTTGTTCCCTCCCTCCCAGAAGGTCTCTCTCTAAGTTAGTAAGAATCGAGAAGACTCTCATACTTTCAGGCAAATCGTTTTATGAAAACAATGAAGATCTGAATCTTACTGTAATTCTAAAATGACCCCGTTTCCTATGTGTATCTCAGAGGTTTGGTGAACGGCCTTTGCTAATCTAGCTTCGATCCCAGCCAGGTCTTGGCAGGGTGCGTTCGTATGGAACAGCTGTAAATTGAAAAATCAAAAATAGTGTGAGTGGATTTAAAACTGCCTGCAGAAGAAACGGAGAGAGGAAAAGAGTGGGGAGACAGACGGGAGCGGTGGGGATGGGGTGGTTTGAATGAAAGGGAGAGAAAGACAGAGGGAGAGTAAGAACAAAAGAGGGAGAGAATGAAACAGGGAGAAAGGGAGGACAAAATATCACAGAGGTACCCAGTCCTGCCTGGCTGTTTCTCCCGTCACTGTAGAAACGGGATGGTGCTTTGGACACCAGCAGGTGGCTGGGCCACAAGTGCTGGAGACTTGGCCCCTGTTAAGGGTTTTCCAGGACCAGATGTGACTTGGAGGGAATGTGGAATGGGGCAGTGCCCGGGATCCCCCCTTCCCCCGACCACACACACACTGCTTGTCACCACAGTCTCTGCTGCCTGGAGCTTCTCACAGGGTATCCTCTGCGAATCTGCGAATCACGCCCCATGGGGAAATGTGAGATAGAGATAGCGCCTGCCTAAGGGAGTTTGCCTTTCTTTGAAAGCCGCCTGGCTCATAGACCACACAGGCATACAGTTGGCTTATATCAGCGCCACTGTGGCCGCCACCCAACCGGCAACCAAGTTGGAACTGCAGGTTAGACTTTCGTCAGTCGGCAGAAGAGGGCGCAGGATTTTTATTTCTGGAAAACATGCTGAAGGTACAGACTTTTCAACCTTGAGCCCCTATTGGGCTCTTCCTGCCGGCCTATTAAGTAGAAACACATAAATGATTTTTAAGACGATGCCCGGATTCCAGGATCCAGTATAAAAAACTGTTGAGTGTCTCTAACTTTAATCAGGGTGGTGGGAAACGATAAGGCACACAGCGTGTCTGTTTGAAACCTAGCCCCAGAAGTCAAATACAAATAAAGTACTCTGTGTCACTTTTGTTTCATTCCGAAATAAATGGCCAGGTTTGGAGTCATTTATTATTTTCAGTATGTGTTTGGGTCGGGGATGCTCATACCATGACATTATGGTATTGGGTTGGACAAGGAATGAACAGAAGATGGGAATTTCTTACAAGTGGGGGTGGAAGGGTTTATACAAGTGTGCACACTGTACTTTTAAGTTTACTGGCACCACCCTACTTGAATGAGCCCAAGCTGTGTCTTTGTTTTGTTTTTTTGTTTTCTCTCCCTTGCAGTGGAGCCCTTTAATCCTCAACCCCAGTTACACCATATTACACTTTCTAGGAGCTACAAAGGTAGTTGCTCAGCATGGTCCCTGCCTACCCGCTGGCACATTTTTTTTCAAAATGACTGTGGTGGCATGCCTCCTCACGTCTCTCCATCTTCTGCTTACCATCTCAAAACACGTGTCTGTTGCTTGAAGGCTGCTGGAGTTTTGTCAGTCTGTTACTCCGCGAAGACCTTCCTAACCATTCCGTCTCTGGGGTAGGAAAGTTCTGGAAAGGTTGGCCATGAACTTGAAAGACTGCCTTCCCCCCACGGAATAAAGTTGACAGGATGTGCATGGTAGCGTGTGTACCCGCTGTGACCCGTTTTCTTATTTTGGGCATCCTCCTATCAATGGCTGTAAAACTTCACTTCACATTCCATCCTTCATGGAGCTGCCATTTCTAACTCAAGTTCTTCTTAGGATGACGAGTGCTTAATCTGTGGTTGGTCCTCTTGTTTTTTTTTTTTTTGTTTTTGTTTTTGTTTTTTTTGTCCTCAGAATAGACAGCTCCAAGGTCTGAAGGGACTGTTCAATAAGAACCCCAGGCACAGTTCTTCGGAAAACAACCCCCATTACATTCGCAAGCGGTCAATCGGGGATAGAATTCTGCGACGGACAGCCAGTGCTCCGGCCAAAGGCAGGAAAAAGAGCAAAGTGGGCTTCCAGGAAATGGTCGAAATAAAAGATTCTGTCTCTGAGGCCACGAGAGACCAAGACGGCGTCCTTAGGAGGACCACGCGGAGTCTGCAAGTACGCCCTGTCTCTATGCCTGTTGACAAGAGTCTTCTGGGGGCTTTGTCACTGCCTGTATCTGGAGCAGCAAAAGACACGGATGGAAAGGAAAACTCCCAGGGTAAGACGCTTTCAGTTTCTCTAAGCTGCTTTTTTTTTTTTTTTTTTTTTTTGGTCCCTTGTTTTCATTACAACGTGGCTACTTTTTCTGCAATTAGAATATTCTGAAAAAAAATAAACAATCTTTGAAGTTAATTCTATGCAAGAAGATCTTGTACTTTGGGTAAGAGAGCATAAAGTGAGCTATTTTCTCCCGTACTGTGGGAAAGTGGAGGAGCATTGGTGCAATGGCCTCAGGCATGCCGATTTGAGAGGGCAGGGAAACCTACAAAATACAAATAGTGTGTTGGTTTTCTGAGTGGTTGTTTTTCTAGATCAGGGACAAGCGGGTAGTGAGGTCTCATTTTTTCACCTTGCCCCAAGGTGGGAGAGACCTATCCTGGCCGTTCTTGGACTGAATTCAGCTGCATCACTTTTCACTATGAAAAACATCTTTTTTTCTGGTTAGAAATGTTTATGGTGAAAGAAAACTGTTAAAAGCCAGTCGCTGGCTGCACCTGTTTAAAGTGGTTGAGGCAGCACTTTCCTCCCGTAATCTCACTTCCAGATCTGCTTGGTGGCTAGGAAGGAGACACACCCATGACTCTTGCTTGGTTGCAGGCTCTGCGGGAGTAGGAATTAGGAGCCATCTTTTTCCTCAGCTTGGAGCATGATGGACTCATTTGAGCAACCTGATGACAAGCCATGACCTCTTTATAAAGTGACAAAGAACTCTTGAATTTGTGTCTATGACTTCCCTTCCTATTCCAAAACCGTGTCCACTGACTGTTTCGGGAATTATCTCAAACAAGTAGAATGTAATACCTTGTTTTGCATATTAGCAAAATTAGTCATTTTCTAAGCTATATAATTTCAGTGATTTATTTTTCTCACAAATGTTGTTTTGCTTGTATTGGTTCTTATTGTAAGATGTTCTAGAGAGAAGAGAAGAGCCAGTTTTTGAATACTTTATTAAAAGAAAAGGGAGAGGCAAAACTTGACAGTTTCCTAGTTTGCAAGGCCCTGGAGTCTACCTAGTCCTGGAAAAATGTTCATAATTTTGCTAAGAGTTATGTCAGAGAAGACAGGACATACATGGCATTAAATTTATCTTAAGAACCTATCTCAGCAAAGTAAAACTAGGTCCAGCAGAAATGTGTACTAGTTAGTCATAACTATAGAAGATGAGAAGCCAAGAAGACGATCTGGGAAGCAGGACCAAGGCAACGTTTTCTCCCTACATTTGAAAATGTATAAGAATTCATCATGTGCATTAAACCTACAGCAAACATGGGTCGATAACTAATCACTGTGGTGATCCCAGATAATTGCAGAAAAAAGCAGAATACAGAATGCTAAAAAATCTGTCTCTCTACAAAAGTGGCCATTTCTGAAAAATTGGGAAGCTTAAGCTTTTTTTACATGATGATTAAATTTTTAGTGAGAAAATATTTTAGTGAAAAAATTCTTTATGCCCATATCATGACTTCAAAAGAGTTAATAGGCAATTAAATAATCAGATCAACAATAATTGAACATTGAACTTGCCTTAGCATATATCAAATAGGATAGGGTATCCCTGGTTACTATGAATTATATGTTTTTATATTGTTCTTTAATTACTATTTTGCTATCATTTTGGAGGTGAAGTGAGGGAGAATGTAATACAATTTTTTTTCTGAACCAAAGAATACTATCAACAGAATATTAAATATTAGTAGTGATGTAGAATTGATGACCGGTTATCTTCTCACTTTAAGCCAACATTTATTAATAATTTTGTGCGCATACTGTACCTTTCCAATTGTGTTAGAAATTGGTTGGATCAAGTATTTTGCCAAAATGTCTTTGAAAATGCTACTATCGTTTGTGTTTTATCTGTTGCTAATACATGTATGACTTTGAAAGCTGATAGTGTCTTGTTTGCAGGTACCATAGTGCGTTGTTTAACAGAGCTGTCTTGTTCTGTTTTTTTTATTGCCATGCTTCTGTGTAGTACAGATCTGAATAGGAAGCAGCGTAAGGTAATCCTCACTGTGAAAGCATAGCAACTCATTGACATTTTCTGGACAATGAGCGTTACATCCTCAGCTGATGTAACGGATGTTCAAAAGGAAGCTCAGCGAAGTTCCTATAAAATACATTTTAACATTTGTCCATCACACAGACACTGTGTTGCAAACTTCTGCTTATCCATAACTATATTCTGTCACAATGTAAAACAGATTTACATTTTCCATTTGTCTGTGTCAAGACAAACGTGAGTGTCAGCAGTTGCCTGCATAGAGTGGTAACGCTTTATCTAAAACGCTGTTTGTTTTATTTAGCAGAGCACCAGGATGCTGGAAGAGAGGAGGAGGCAACTATAAAAGACCCACAGTTTTCAAATTTCAGCAAAAAGTTATCCTTCTCCTCCAGTGCGCTCCTCCACAAAGATGCCAACCAAAGGCACGGCAGCGTTTCAGCTGCCAACTTGTCCATCCCAGAACAGTGTGGAGGACCGGGTCCAAAGGGTAGGAGAACCAAACCAAATGCGACAAATAATTGCCCGGAAAACGATTGTCCCCCCAAATTCCTCTCCCCAAGGAAGCTTTTGGCACTTGACCATGAAACTAAGAGACCCCAGGATCTCTCTGGGATGAAGACCAATGAAAAGGGGCATACCGAGGGCTTAGGGGAAGGGAAAGGCATGTTGTCCGAAAGTCTGCTTTCTCCAAGCGCTCTGGAGATGGAGAACCTGGAAGGCAGCAGGACCAAGGTCCGAGGTGCAACAACATCCTTTTCTCTCTCCGATGTCTCCGCCCTCTGCTCCGACGCCCCCGATTTGCATTCAACCGCTATTCTTCAGGAGACCGAAGAAGTTTCCAATCTCATTGAGGATGTCACTTTGACAAATGAGAACGAGCCGGGCAGCTCCATTTCAGCGCTGATTGGCCAGTTTGAAGAGAGCGACCACGGGGCCGCTCACCTCGCTGCGGGTTCTCGTCTTTGCATGGATGCGAGGACGCCATCGGGAGGTGCTCCTTCGCCCGTCCTACTGGGCCTGCAAACACCCTTCCAGCATGGCTTTTCCCAGGGGAGACCCCAGGCCCCCCTCTCGTGCTCATCTCCCGCGCTGATCAAGGTCTCTAGCGCGGAGACCACCAGACCTGCAAATAACGTCGTTGCTCGTGGAATGGTTGGCTCTCCCATCTCTAAACCCAAGCCGGGCCATGGCCCTTCTTCTGATAAAACCGAGGCGAGGGGCACGGAAGGCAACTTACCCGGGTCCCTGGATGCTTCTCCTGATCACTTTCCCAAAAGCCCCACCCACGGGAAGGACCAGAGACAAGCGACTGAATGGAACCTGGAAGACGTCATCACAGACCCTGCTTTCTGTGTCAATTCCGCAGACAGCAGCCTTGTGGACATTGACGGAGACTCCGAAAACCTGTCTCTCACAGCCTGTGGCGACGACGACGCGGGAGGGACTCTGGGTCAACTTGTGTCTCCACTAAAGCCGAAGCACAGCCCCGAGATGGTGGAGCCCATGCAGAGAGGCTTGAGGAATGGCTACTGTAAAGAGACACTCCTCCCCGCTGCCCCTGCAATACTCAACACTCTTCAAGGTGTCAAACACCAGAGTGTCTCTCGTGTAGCCTATCAGGGTGCTGGCTTTGTGTGTGACAACAACCCCTTCTCGAGTTCAGATGCAAACACGAACCAAACCTGTGGGCCCCGGCAGCCTAGGCTTGCAGAGATGCATGCCCCGACCCCCACGCATTCCGCACACGCCCCCCACTTGGTTGCCCTGAAACTGCCAAGCCCTTGCAAATCCAAAAGTCTGGGGGACTTAACGTCAGAGGACATTGCCTGCAACTTTGAAAGCAAGTACCAGTGCATCAGTCGGAGTTTTGTGACCAAAGGCGTCAGGGACAAGAGTGTGGCTCGGAAGACCGGGGATCCACTAGAGCCCTCAGACGCCCTCACCGAGCAGCTCCGAAAGCTGGTGTCCTTCGACCAGGAAGACGGCTGTCAGGTGCTGCATTCCAAGCAGGACGTCAGTCAGTGTCCCAGGGCGGCGTTGGTCAGAAAGCTGTCGTCGAGAAGTCAGAGCCGAGTCCGCAACATCGCCAGCCGTGCCAAGGAGAAGCAGGAAGCCGGCAAGCAAAAGCCGGTGACCCACAGCACCAGAGGAGGGGTGGTTCTCAGAAGTAAGCCTCCCTCCCCGGCTGTGGCCGTGAACCGACACTCCACCGGCTCCTACATTGCAAGCTACCTGAGGAACGTGAAAGCCGGCGGCCTGGAGGGCAGAGGCATCCCAGAGGGAGCAGCATGCGCCCTTCGGTATGGCTACGTGGACCAGTTCTGCTCAGACAGTTCAGTGCTGCAGACCGAGCCGAGCGGCGAAGATAAACCAGAAATTTATTTTCTTTTGAGGCTATGAATTATTCAAAAAAAAAAAAAAAAGCAAAAGCAAGCAAGCAAAGCTGCATTTTCATTGTTTACACGATGATGCTCTTCTCCTAGGACGTTAGAGTTTTTCCTACTGTCAGTGAATATAACATTTGGCTTTGAGATGGTTTTTAAATGTATTCTTTTGGACATGTTACTTTGGTCTCCCTTTGACTTCATGTGTTCTCTTAACTTCATGCGTTTGTATAATACAGGTTCTGTGACATTTTCCAGGAACCCACGCTCTGTTTCCCTCAAGGTATCGTAAACTGTGTCAGTATGAAATGTGTGCATGCCGTTGATGTGAAACTTCTCAGCAGTTTGGGTCACAGCGTGTGCATGTTGCACAAAACAAAACAAAACGCTCTTTAACTTGTCCTTGGGTCTCAGTCCCAGAGGTTGTCGTAATTTTACTCGCTGAGTGTTGAGCTCATTAAGATTAGACTTTCCAAATATGAAGGAATGGATTCTTTATTTGAAGCTACATTCTCCGTGTGAATTGAAAGACCCAGATTCAATTTTATAACTCATTTAAAAGAAGTGTTCAAAATAGTTAACTTGTCCTTTATGGTTTCGTCACCCCACCCAAAGTGGGAATTCCATGAAGATGGACGGCATCTCTCCATCCCCAAACCCCTTTTAGAATAGGTTGTAAGGAAGAAAGTGAACTTCCGTATATAAGGACAAAATGGTTTTACATAAATTTTGTTACACACTTTTGCTAAACGGCTTTGTATGTAACAAGAATCCAGTTGCCAAGCTGTCTGTCATACTTTTGAAGTATGTTTCGAAGTATCTCTGATATAATAGATTGCAAATAATGGCTTTCAGAATGAGAGACTTTTTAGCCAGGCATGGTGGTTCACAACCTTTGATCCCAGCAGAGGCAGATGTATCTCTGAGTTTGAGGCCAAGCATGATCTATGTGGTAAGACCCAGGTCAACCACATGTACATAGTAAGACCCTGTCTTGAAAGAAAGGCAGGAAGGAAGGAAGAAGAAAGAAAAAAAGGAAGGACAGAGAAAGACCTTACATTAGACTTAAAACTCAGAGTAGTACAAACAGAAAATTGCCCCAAAGATTTCAAGAGGAAAAAAAAGTTATTTTCTCATAATCCAAGTAAATAGATAATTAAAAGAAACCTTTTTTCCCTTTAGGGAACCAAGTAACTATATTTTAGTACCGGCATATATTATTTTCATTGTGAATCCATTTTGTATTGCATGTTCAGGTGTCATTTGCTTTTTGTACCATGAATTACAATGACGTTCCTCCTGGACTTCATAAAAATATGATTAAAACAGGTTTTTGGACACTTTGCGGTTTTATTGGTTTTATTTATAAAACAAAAGCAAGTAAAACCACAGCTGGAGTATGCGTGCGTGCGTGGTAACTGTCGGGTGATGGAGGGGAGGAGGAGTGCTTGGGGTTTGTCTTCCTCTCCGTGTCCTTGTAGCAGAATTGGGAGCATTCGCTGTCATGGATTGTCTTACACAGCAGTATTGCCATTATGTTGAAGAAATGCCCGTTTTTGTTTTTAATTTTTAGATGTATTTATTTGATCGTTATGGGTGTCTTGCTTCCATGTGTGCGTCTGATACTTGAGGAAGGAAAAAAACAAGTTACTGAGATGGCCAAAAGGCTAGCCGCTTAGGGTTGTTATAGGATGACTCCAAAGAAATCACATGAAAGACTGTGTCTAAGAGCCGCTTGCAGGAGGGAAGGGGGATGGGAAGTGCTCGTCACTGTGTCCCTCATCCTTTCCCTTGCGTGAGCCTAGCTTGTCCTCGGCAGCCCCTCCAGCCATCCACTGCAGAGCCGGAGTCCCTTGGGGCACCCATCTCCATCTTCCGTGGGGCTGCACATGGGGACAGCTCAGTGACGGCAACGGCGGCGGTGGCAGCTGCAGCAATTCAGCCTCAACAGCTGTGGGAGCAGCTGGCCCGCCGAGAGCTGTGCCAACACTTGGCTTTGACAGGGATGGGACAGAAAGAGCCAGAGTGGTCCTAACAGCTTGTTTACTGTATCCCGTTCATTGGGCTGAGTTTTCTGTGCTAGCTCTTATCTGAGGACAAGAGACCACCTTCAGTACCTCAAGAAAAAAAAGAGGCGGGTGGCCAGTTCTTCCACACACCGTTGGGGATCAGTTTCACCCTTTATAACTAGCAGCAAACTGAGCTGGGTGCACTCCTTTGATCCCAGCACTCGGGAGGCAGAGGCAGGCGGATCTCTGTGACTTTGAGGCCAGCCTGGTCCACAGAGTGAGTTCCAGCACAGAGAAACTCTGTCTCAAAACAACAACCAAGATTAGCAAACCGAGCTGTTATCCCCACAGCTGCAGCAGGTCCTGTAGCCGTAGCTGGTGCCTTTCTCTCGTTACCTATTTATTTTCCCATATTCACCGAGTATGTCAGACCCCCCTAGGCTGTTTATCTGGTGTCTTGACACAGTCCCTTGTCCTCGATGAGTGTGACTATACATGGGTCTAGGATGCTTCCCACGAGCTTGTATATTAAAGACGGGGGTTCTTAGCCTATGGGACTATTTAGTTTACAAATAAATAAATAAACATTTAGGACCTGGGGCCTGTCAGAAGGCATGACTTCCTCTAACGTGTTGCACTTGTCTGACACGCAGGGTCTCTCGCTGAGCCTAGTGCTCACACGTTAGCTAGCAAGCCCCGGGGAACCCTACTGTGTCTGTCTTCCAGCACTGGGATTGTGGGTGCACATCTCTGTGGCTGACTTTCCATACACACTCAGGATGGGAATGTAGGTCCTCACTCTTGGATGGGTAAGCGCTTTGCTTGTTCTGCTGAGCCCCTATGCCCCTCAGCCACGCCCTGCTGATTCTCCACCCATTGTGGGCGGAGCCACATGGTTTCTCATGGGTTCTCAGGCTTCACTCTTATTAGCATATGCCCCTGCATGATTAAGACCACCGTCCCCTAAGAGTTTCATTGATGCTGCAGGCCTCTTAATTGTGAGGTAGGAAGACGTCAGTCAGTGTGGAAGACTACTAACGTGCCTGCGGAATATGAAGGAGGCCGTGCTCGCTGCAATTGTCGTCTTCCAGGTAGCAGGAAAGTAAACAGGTCCCGGACAGCCCAGCAGTGAGTGCTACTGTGCGCCTTGTAACAGGTAAAGATGGATTGCTTTTTGGTATTCTCAACCGCTAGGAGCCAGGAAAAGAAAAGGATTTGGCAAAATAATAGCCACAAGCTTACGTGCCGGATATTGGTTTTGTTTGCTGCAATGAAGTTCCAATCTGGCCCCAGCAGTAATAATTGGAGTGCTCTGGTTAAATCGACAGCAGTTCACCGATATCTACCATAAGACGCATGTTGAATATGGAGAGAGCAAGCACATGAATGACATAGGAGACATAGAAGTTGTCATGCTTGAATCCTTTTGAGCTTCTCTTGGTACTAAATTCTGCAGCTTTTCCTAGGAGGACACAGAGCTTCTGGTTTTACTGCCTTGGCCTGGAGGGAGAGTGCATTGCTTTTTTAAAAGACCAGCAGTAAGTATTCTATTCTACCCTACTGCCATTTAATTCCTGTATCAGGAAACCAAGAGGAAGTATATCTGTCCTATTGTGTATGGAAAACTAGATGGGAAAAATAATCACGGGGTTAGTCCCTTAGGTACACTGGATCCATCGTGAGATAGTCTTTACCTTAAACCTCTTTGCTCTGGGATCTGTTAGAGGTAATACCTGTTTTCTATTTTTTAAATTAATTTTTATTTAAATTAAAAACAGTCTTATTTTACATACCAATCCCAGTTCCCTCTCCTTCCTGTTCTCCCATGCCCCCCACCAGTCCCCATCCCACGCCCCATCCACTCCCCAGGGAGGGTGAGGCCTCCCATGGGAGATCATCGAGGTCTGTCACATCAGTTGGGGCAGGGCCTAGGCCCTCACCTGTGTATCTAGGCTGAGAGAGTATACCTCCATAGGAAATGGGCTCCCAAAGCTCATTCATGCATGAGGGATAAATACTGGTTCCACTGCCTGAAGCCCCATAGACTGCTCATAGATACCCACGTTCAGGGGGCCTGGTTTGGTCTTATGCAGGTTCCCCAGCTATCAGTCTGGGGTTCATGAGCTCCCCTTGTTCAGGTCAGCTGTTTCTATGGGTTTCCCCAACATGGTCTTGACCCCTTTGCTCACCACTCCTCCATTTCTGCAACTGGGTTCCAGGAGTTCTGTTCAGTGTTCAGCTGTGGGTGTCTGCTTCTGTTTCCATCTGCTACTAGATTGTTAAGAGAAGCTTTTTCTTTGCTAGCCGCTTTGGTTTATCCCCTGCCAGTCGCATGGGCTCTGCCGCATTGTAGTCCCCAAATAACACACAAGACGCTGTATTAATTATGAAGCTGTTGGCCTTTGCTTGTTTCTTACTGACTAGCTCTGACTTAGGTAATTACCCCATATTGTTAATCTAAGTATTTCTCTTACCGGAGAATAGTTCCGGGCTTCCTACCCCATGGCGGTTACATCTGGAATCTCTTTGTGTTTCTCTTTCCCAGAAACCTCCTGGACTCCTAGTCCCACCTATCTAGATTCCTATTGGCTCAACAGTGCTTTATTGACAAAGGACTTCCCCAACATCTCCTCTTTTCTGTTTAAACAAAAACAAAGGTCTTAACTTTAACATAGTCAAATTGTATATAACAGAACAGTTATCAAGTAAGAACATAGTTACAATATTTTAGCAAGATTTAAAGAAAATATCATCCATCCCATCCTTGTGAGTCCAAAGTTCTATGTAGCTTATCTTTTATCATAACTAAGGAAAACTGTAACTATAACTATCTGTCTTCAACTCCATCAAAGACCACAGAAGGATAATATATAAACACTAGGATTGACAGAGATATCTTACTGCCTGGACAGTCACCCGAAGTTCCTCTGTAACGTTGGGGCATCCATCTTCAGCCCATAGGCCACAATGTGTCCAGAAGATTTCTCAGCAAAGCAGGAAATTATAAAACTGTCCATCTGCATTGGCAGTCTGTCAATCATTTCTCTGTGTCCTGCAGAAATTCTCTTCCATGAAGCAGGAACCCTGTAAGACTGAGTTCAGCAGTCACTTTCCTGTGGGTCCTGCATGTCCAGATTATACAGCAACAGTCAAGCAGTACAGGCAAGAGCAGTTTCTTGCCCAAATGGCTAATCTTGTCATGTTGAAAGCAAACTCCATAACGAGTTTCTTCGATGCCCATTTTCCTCTCAGACATAATTGGTGCTGCCAGGAGCAGACATTTCTCATTGTCAAGAAAAACCCTAAACCATTTTAAATGCCATTTTCTGAAGGTCTTTGAGAGGTTTGAAGATTATCTATCTGTCTCAAATACATCTCTCTATATATAGAAAACCTAACTTACCTAACTATAAGTTCTGACTATTATAAGTAAATATCTATAGTCTGTATTCAATTATGCATTATGTTTTAAAAGATCAGTATAAGCACAATACTTAATCAAGAGGAGAAATATAAGCATCACAAAATTGACCTTGAATTTGTACCAATAAATGAAAAACCATACCCATACCATAATTCCGCTTTTTAACCATTAAAAAAGAGATCGGCTGTTATCATTAGCCAATTATAAACAACCCCATTTAAATGAAAACAAAGATTTATAAACAGGATGGGAATTAGGACGTTGCTCATTCCAAACTGCTTCATGCTGGAAGGGGGCACTGTTCATACCATGGGGATCATGACAAAACTCAGAAACCTGTACAAGTCCTTATTTTCGTGGTCTGTAAATCTCCATCATCTCAGCTGTTTTAATTGTTGGGACATCTGATCCACTGCTTCTGGGGGTCTCGATTCGTCAAACCACAGAAGCCTGGAAGGAATCCTCAGCTTTTCATTTTCTGTAGAAACATAAGTAAAATCTCCTTTCCCAAGTAACATATTCTTATACTTAAATTTTGAAGTCAAGGCATTTTTAAAAGATAGAAGTTGGATTAATTCAGCAGCATTTATAATCAAGTGTACTTTGGAAGTTGTTCCTTCCTGAGCAATTAAAAAACTGAAAAACACAATAGCATACAGTATCCAGACTCTCTGTGTATTTTCCATCTTTGCGTGGCTTATTTATTTATCTATTATTACTTTATTTCTTTTACTTTTATTTCTTTTTCTCTGAGACAGGGTTTCTCTTTGGAAATCTGCCTGCCTCTGCCTCTGGAGCAATTCCTACCGGCGTGCGCCACCACACCCGGCTTCTTTTTCTCTCAATCTTACGTATATTTTTAAACACACTGTAAACCTTTAGAGGTTTTGTTCATCCAAGTCTGACTTTCCTGTAAATCTTTACGTTTTTCTGGCCACATGTCTTATCTGTAAAACCGCGGCTGTTTTAAACCACCGGTTTTTTTCAAGATGGCGGGCGTAAGCGTGACTCCAGCTTACCGCCTCAGTCCATGCTGATCTCCAGCAAAAGCTGCCACTTCCAGCTGTACGTACAACTTTTAAATCATTAGCAAAGCCTCTTAAAAGAACCTTGTTGCCTTTTTTTTTTCTTTTTATGTAGAGTCAGGATGACTCCGGTAAGCGAGCCGCGTGAATCTCGGCTTGTCGCTAGCAAAACAGAGCACACCTGAGAAAATGCTGCTACCAAAAATCTGTGCTTCTCTCTGTTCTTCTGTTTCTAAAATTCCTTTAAAGCTTTTGTTGTTTTGTGTGGAAATTTAATCCCGCTTCTGACAACCATTTTGTTAAGAGAAGCTTTTTCTTTGAGAGGATCCTTCCCCCCCAGCCTGGTTCTAGAGCCACATCAGTCCCAAATAAACACACAGGAGACTATATTAATTATGAAGCTGTTGGCCTTGTTTGTTTCTTACTGGCTAGCTCAGACTTAGGTAATTACCCCATAATTGTTAATCTAAGTATTTCTCTTACCAGAGAACAGTTCCGGGCTTCCTACCCCCATGGCGGTTACATCTGGAATCTCTTTGTGTTTCTCTTTCCCAGAATCCTCCTGGACTCCTAGTCCCACCTATCTAGATTCCTATTGGCTCAACAGTGCTTTATTGACAAAGGACTTCCCCAACACTAGATGAAGGCTCTATGATGACATTTAAGATAGTCATCAATCTCATTATAGGAGAAGGGCATTTAAGGTAGCCTCTCCACTATTACTTAGATTCTTAGTTGGGGTAATTCTTGTGGATCGCTGGATATTTTCCTAGTGCCAGATTTCTCATTAAGCTCATAATGGCTCCCTCTATTAAGGTACCTCTTTCCTTGCTTTCCTTTTCTTTTCTTCCCCCAACTCAGCCTTCCTGATCATTCATATTCTCTTCCCCTCTCCCCTTCTCTCCTCTTCTTTCTCCTCCCTCCGTGTTCCCAATTTACTATGGAGGTTTTGTCCCTTTCCCCTTCTCCAGGGTGGGGGAGGGTCCATGTATGTCTCTCTTAGGGTCCTCCTTGTTTCTGAGCTTCTCTGGGATTGTGGACTGTAGGCTGGTAATCTTTTGCTTTGTATCTAATATCCACTTATGAAAGAGTATGTACCATGTTTTTCTTTCTATGTGTTACCTCACTCAGAATGGTTTCTTCTAGTTCCATCCATTTGCCTGCAAATTTCAAGATTCCAATTTTCTTTCCACTGAGTAGTACTCCATTGTGTAAATGTTCCACATTTTCTTTATCCATTCTTCAGTTGAGGGGCATCTAGGTTGCTTCAAGGTTCTGGCTATTACAAATAATGAATGCTGCTATGAACATAGTTGAGCAGATGTCCTTGTGGTATGGATGTGTATCCTTTTGTGATATATGCCTAAGAATGGAATTGTTGGACCTAGGGGTAGATTGATTTCCATTTTCCTGAGAAACCGCCATACTGATTTCCAAAGTGGCTGTACAAGTTTGCACTCCCACCAGCAGTGGAGGAGTGTTTCCCCTTACTCTGCATCCTTTCCAGCATAAACGCTCCTTGGTGGTTTTTGATTTTAACCATTCTGACAGGTGTAAGATGGTATCTCAGAGGTAATTTCTAACTAGAAGGTTATGTGCTCCCTTGGGACCCCTGGTACATGTATCAATTGTGACCTCACTCTCACTATCTTCTAGACGTTAGGCAGGGGTTCTTGTACACATCACTCAGGGGAAGCTGAAGCAGGAATATTACAGGCTCTGGGCCAGCCTGGGCTACCCAGTGATATTCGGTCCAAAACACAAATAGGGGTTGGGGATGGGAGATGGCTCAGCAGGGAAAGTGCTTGCCATGTAAACATGAGGATGTGACTTCAGATTCCCAGAACCCATGCAGAAACTGTGTGTAGTAGCAAGTGCACCAGGTGTCTCAGCATTCCCGCAGGGAGGTGAGAAGCAGAGGCAGGAGCATCTCCAGAGTCTTGTGGGTCAGTCAACCTGGTGTGCAATGGGTAAAGGTACCCTATTTCAAACCAGTCTAAAGGCATAGTCCAATGTCCAAGGTTGTCTCCCGACCTTGTACTGTGGCAAGCACCCTTACAGGCTAAATGCTAGGCAGTGCCTTTAAAGG